GTTTTTTTATTCTCTCTCTAGACAAGACAAGCCATGAGAAATCTATAAACGATATGAAATCAAGGACATCGAGGATTTCGACCAGGTCCGCCGAAGTAGAAATACGGCTCGGTCTCGTTTTCATTTCGGTGGAAGATTGTACCATAACAATTGTACTCATCTGAGAACTCGTATAGATACTGAGGATACTTGATCTGCATGGAATAATGTTGGTGTGGTAACATGCTTTGCCCTTGCGAGAAGATGCCCACTCTCCACTCCCCATTGGAGTTTTAGTGTGTGGCTTCTTCCTCACGTTACGGCTATAGACTTCTCCACCCCACTGGACTGCTGTGGCGCTCCGGTTTAGGCTTCCGAAGAGTTTACCTGGCCAGTATCCCAACACGATGTTCTCGGTTGTCAGCCACCAGTTCCCGTATCCTGGAAACACGATCGAATATAGAACAATAGCAACAAAAGTACATGTGTTTTTATTGGTAGTTAGCACTTGGATTTGGTTGTGTGTGCTCTGCTAGTTCTCCCCGATGAATGTTCTCAAAAAGAGTAAACGAAGATTGACTCTGTACCGAAGATTAGAGTTTAAATCTGAAAGTCGATGTTATATCAAATAAAACAAAAAATACATGTTTTTTTTTTTGTCTGAGAGGCTTGTTCACCCCGAGATTAGTAGGACGTTTGGCGACACATGGATAGTCAGTGCTAAATCTAAAAACAGAACATAATTTTGTAGTATGTAAAGGATGATGATAATAAACAAGAAAATATTACCAGAAAGATGCTAACGGTCATGTCATATTGGTCATGCAAGGTAGGGATAAATGAGTACTTGTTTGCACGAAGCCTGAGCATAAGAGGTCGAAACAACCTGTTTTCTTGTATGCATCTTTCTGCAAACCCAAATTCACAGAGTAGTTGTAAATTCATGAAACTGAATTGGACTTTACATGTCCGCTATTCTAGATGACTTAAAATCTGTAAATACACTGTAATCGGCAATTCCATCTCGATTGAGCAGAAAAATAGTAAGATACATGTGAGAAAAGAGAATATTTTCCTCTTTCCTATTTATACTTATATCAGGTTTTTTCTTTCTTTTTGAAACCAACTTATATAAATGAGTTTTTAGGGTTTGTAAACATTAGGAGTCATGTGATGATATTACTTACTGTCCAGTAGGTGAAGAGCCGTGTGCAGTTGTCTCCGAAAACCTTTGGATTCACCTGAAATAGTGTATGATAACCGGTTTACAGCGAGTTGCATATGGTTTACTTCTAACGCCAAATATAAATTTTCTACGTTTAAAAGAATTTACCATCCAACCAGCTTCTTTGCTTTCAAATACATCTGAGAGTTCACCAAGCAGCCAAATTTGTGCAGAGGTGTAGTCGGCAGCTTGAACTCCCGAAGGGTTCCAAACATTTATATGGGATATAGCGCCGATATAATATTGACCCCTACCGCGAGAAGAGCCGCTTCCTATATCATTAACAAAGAAGAGAGGTTTTAAGTTAAACCATATGAAGAGGAATTTAGTTTCTCGGTTAGCTAATTAAGAGTAAGAATTAGGCCTTGAATGGAAATGTTTTTTTTTTTTTTGATTATTTTAGTACAGTTGAATGGAAATGTTGTTTGCTTTAATTCGGTGTATATAAGTTAAAAGTTCTTCTAAAAAAAAATTTGGTTTGAAACTTGCGTTTCAAATTATTTGAATCAAATCATAGTAAGAAAGCTATATATATATGGTTTTTGTCTCTACAATCAAAAATTAAGAAAAAAAAAAACTAAAAGTAAAATCCAGAAGAAATTTTTCGTACCATTCAACATTATATAGTTTACATACGGATGGGTCTTTTGGACGGGGCTTGTTTATATTTTCAGCGGTTAAATTTTTATTAGACTTGTATTGGTATGCTTTGTCGTGAAAATTGTATACGTGAGCAGTTTTTCTTCCAAATTGAGACGGTGAAGAGGCTCTGATTATTTCTTGTCTACTGAATCTACGAATCGGTATTGTTCCTACCGGGCATGTACCAGATTTAGTCCAAATCTGGGATATTACCGGCCGGTTTATAAAAACCGTTGTTCTTCAGACTATTATCCACACTTGGTTTCATCTGCATGCATAAATTTAGGACGAGTTATTAGGAAACAGCTTATTGAGTTTGATACATACCAAACGCGTGAATAGAGTTTCTTTACTTGAATTTTGTGGTTTCTTAAGGCGTGATGATCAAAAGCAGGTTCTTTATAGATATCCACACAATCTATCATATCTCCATCTTCGGTCTACAAATAAATTACAATCAATTTGGGAACTCAAAAACCAAAAAAATATACACAAAATTATTATAGTTGCATTCGGATTTCATCCATACCTTGATGGTCTTTAACGCAGGCTTATTAAGATTCTTCAATTTCATATCGATCTCCTCAGAAGCTAATCCGTAGACTCCATTGTAGAAAACACAGAGAATCACAAAGGTTAAGACTAAGATCATTCTCAATACGGCTTGTATTTCCATTTTTTCTTGGTTGAAAAAGAGATTAGTACATAAGTTTTGTGTTTTTTAGATCTTTAAATGTTTCCTACTATTTATAGAGCTTAGAAGTTTGATTTTTTAATTACTATATAGGAAACACAAAAATATACAAATTGAATTTTTTTTTCTTTGCTGAGCTTACAAAACACTTTTTTTTATAACCTTTTCTAATTAATAAGAAACGCAAAAAATATATAAATAATTTTGATAAATATT